TGTAAGACGCCGGAGAAATATCGCGTTTGGAAAATCCGTTCCTCTGACTTTCAGATTTTAATTCAATTCCTGGAAAGCCCGAGCCGCTTTTCCTCCCTCGGCAGCTAGGCGTAGCGCCGTTTAGGTTTACGTGTTCCAACTCTCTGTTCCCCATGGATATTGCGCGATTCGTCAGAATATACGTACGTACCTACACTACGAGAACCGGTGTCGTTTCATACTTTGTTGTTTAATTCTCCGTTCACCTTTCAACTTGGGACGCACGAAATTGAAAAGTATTAAACGCGGAAGACTCGGCAGATTTCTTTTATCTGTCGAGATGCATTATTCAGAGACACAGTTACGAGCAATTCCCTGAAGGGTTTCTCCTTTTCTATTTAAAATTTGTTACACATTTTCCTCCCTTCTCGCAGTACTTATTTACAATGCCAGGTAGACTGACATCTTGATATAAGTACGTATGTTACTTATATAGTCTGTCCTGTCACATTTTATTGAGCTAATGATCCGGTATTAAATTGAACGTCAAGTTTCGTATAAACTTCAGTAAATGAGCAGTGATCTTCAAATTACGCTCGGATGCTTCAGTCCACTCGATGGTTTTCAGATCACTCGAAATCGTACGACTCCACAAGTGAATCGCTATCAGCAAAGCCGTTTATGCGGTCAAAATAATCATGGATGCTTGCGCAGCTAATTATTATCAAATTACGTGAAATTCTACTTCCGATCTAATGAGCAGTCATCTAAATTTCCAAAATATAATTCGACAATAGATTTTTACACTCCGTTGAATTTGTAATTGAAAAATATCCAAGTTTAGATTAATGAACATTATTCACGTTTCCACGGATAAGTATAGTGAAGTATAAAAATGACGTATTATCAAATAAGCATAATTAATCGTAGTTAAAAATTGCATGGGAACTATTTAGACACTTCATGGAAACTATTATACATATGTTAACTGCGTATTGAAATTGAAATTGATATTTTTAAATAGTGTAAAGTTCCATCGTATGAATGTAAACGTTTATTATGCAAAGCTGCTGCAATTTTTCCTCTAAAAACGATTTTAAAAAAAATCAATCCCTGAGTTCTGTGACGACTCATGTATATAAAATGGTATACCGTATATAAAATGGTTACATTTTCAACGACCGGAAGACGAGTCCCATGTCGGTCGTGGATTTCGTGAGTAACGTCGTTTACTTTATCATTTGACCAACTGCATCTACCCGGGTTGCCGTATTACCGCCGGCTGCCTGGGAAGTGCTTTAATACGCGATTATACTGCCAGCAATAATGATAACGTTTATGACGTCCTGGGCAAATACGTATACGTATCCCGGTTAACGTCTCACCCGTGATTCCTGCGATATTGATTCTGCTCGCCCGTAAAACTAAATTCGCTCGGTTCCTATTAAGTAGCCTTTACCTAATACTTACACCTAACTTCTATCTTAGCACTTTACGCTCGCACAACTGTTTAATCGTCTACGAAACGAGAAACTTTCTTCCTCGAGAAAACGATTTTTCTCCCGAGCTTTATATGAGCTTTCTCTTCTTTATTACATTATTTCGCTCGTTAGTGTAGTGTTAATTTTTCGAGAGTTTCCAATTGTGCAAGTAGCGAAAAGTCGGTGTTTACTCGAGACGGGTCGACAATTTGGAGGCACGAAGCTGTCCCTTGGGTTAGCCTGGAACTGGAAGACGCAAATGAAATTGCTCGGGATACATAAATCGGACACGTTGCCCGACACCGTCACGCCGTAATCTTGCTAGAAACGCAGGGTGGAAATAGAAAAGTTGCGGCTACGTGTCGCGCGGAAATGTGGTTTAATCTTATTAGATTGATGCGTCCGTTGTTGCCAAGATTGAATTTGTCAAATCATTCCGTTCTGTCGTATCCTTTATTGCTGTCAACCACAGTGGACGATACACGAAGGGTAAGATATTGAAGGAGAGTAAAATTAATCTAAGTCTTTCAGTTATATAATATGTAATTGTATTTTCTGGTGAGTAATAATAAAAAGAATTGCAAATTACTATGTGCAGAATTCATTATTTATTAATACATTATACTATCTCGATATCTGCTTATCGAGACTAGTTTACGTTTATAAATGTTAAAACTTATGAAAAATGTTGACAGATTTGGTTCCAGTTTAATGGCCAAACGTTGTACACGTATGTATGTCCTGAGGGAAGCTGTTTCCTTGATATGTAGTATGGGGTCCATCAAGGGGTTCTAATTAAAGCAAACCAAGCGGTTAATCCTAGAATCCGTTACGGTCATCTGCATACACGTTCATCCGTTGGTCTTGAAGATAAGCTTATGATACGTTAATCACCGGCGAATTGGGTATACCTAAATTGTGGCCCAGCACGAGTTTAGGTTTCATTGGATCTAAAATAAATGCCTGATCTGCTTGTAAAGCTTTAACGTTTTATACTTAGCGAAACGTCTTTAAATTGGAGGTTGATTTACTTAAAGTAGTAACAGGACGTTTCTCGTTCAGAATGAGGACTGTCGAAATATGTTTCCTAAAGAAAAATTGGATTATGGAGCGTTACACACACTATAGTAGAAATAAATTAGTGTAATAATTCTCTTTAAATGATAGTAAAAATTGTATTTGACACTGATACATATAGACATAATATCCCATATAGTAATGAAGCATCGAATTAACGTTAAATAATAAATCGTCTCGCTGTTCGTTGCTTCGAATTTTTTGATCAGCTGTTCTATACCACTCTTTTTTCACTCTTGCCATTGAAACTAATTTCCAGTTGGTAACGATGTGGTAACCGCATCTCCGTTTTTTCCCTCCATTTCCCATCTCCTCGCTCTCCCTCGCTAATTGAGAACATTAACACTGAATTTAAAACTGGAATTTTTACGGAAATAACATTTCATTCACGTCGAAATTTCCAGCATTTCCCACGCATTAAAACGTGTTTCGCAGATACAGAGCTTCATAAATACAAAATAATTAAGCTTAATTCGGAATTTAATTTAAAGCTGCTATTTAAAAACAGGTAGAAATGGTATAACGTTAGGCTGGCATATTTTCAATACTATAATACGCGTTTCATAATACGACGCGAATACATTGATTATGTAGCAATCAAACACAAGAGCCTAGACCGCAGAATTGTGGCCAATTAATATTTCACCCAGAAATTAGGAATATACGTTTAGGAAACGTTTAATTATTACACGCAGCTACGTATATGTATACATTGTAGGCAATGTAGATATGTACATATGTATGTACAACTCCAAACATGATCTGAATAAATCCTATCTTCAGCAAATTGTATTTTAACTCGATACGTTAATAGAAATTAATATAAAAAGTGTATAAAACGATTAAAGCACAAATAATAATAATTGATGAAAATTCAATTAAAATAACTGAATTTGATCTTATCAAGAAAGTCCATAGGTTACGTCATTGAAAGTCGAATAAAAGTCCCTCCTCGATTTGGTTGCAAGCCCGTTCCTAAAGAGTATTGATTTACAACGACCGGATTCAACGTACCCACGACCGGCCTTTTTTCTACGAGAGGAAAGAAAGAACCATGCGAGGCGAAAAAACACGTTTCACTTATCCAAAGGGACATCGATTGCTTTGCAAGCTGAAAACGCAATCGTGTTTAGTCAATCCCCTTCCTGACTCTTCCCAGAAGAAAACAGTGAATGCTGTTAGGTCTCGTATCTGATTCAAGATTAAACATCAAAGCTCGATTATATCCTTTATTCGAACAAAAATCTTTTATTCATCGTCTATCATTTCACTAATTTTCGACACGAATTAAAATAAATGGTAAATCTGAACGATTATCAAATCAATTCGCGTATAGCAAGCGTTATGAAATCTGATTAGAATAATATCTGTGGAAAGTAAATATCCACAGAACGGTGAAAAATAAAAAATTTGATAATCTAACGAGCACGATTATTGTTGCAAGAGGCATTATCGCGGCTGCCGCCGGAACTTTTATTCTATTAATTTGCTTCTTTCGCTAACTTCCGGGTAACAAAAGTTCCTCCCCGAGAACGGAACGCGGGGACGGGCGACGAGAGCAGGTATCGACATAAAAATAAGTTTTACGGATCGGAATGAAGAGAGGCTACGGAAAGCCGGATATTGGAAATACGATACTCCCATCGGGAAAGTTCGGAAGTGAATACACCCTTTAAAGAAGTTGCTGCTCCGTCGACGGGGGGGAGGGAGGGGGGTGGGGCGCCGGTGTGCTACGCGAGGAGGAAATACGCGAAATGGAATAGCGACGAGCGTATCGAAGCCGCACGGGGTTTTAAAACACGCTAACAAGATACCTTGATGCGAGGTGAACGGGAAAAGAGTCATTTCACGGATGTTCGCTTGACGAGAACCACTCCGCTCTCAGAACTCTCGATTTGCCAAAAACTCGGCTTTTTTGCCTCCATCAATTTGTCGTTTTATGACCTACGTCATATCATGAATTTTCATCTATCTCAGCGTTCAATACATCGGATATTATTTTTCTTTTAGTCAACAAGCCTGTGCAATTCGTATGATTTTTAAATAAAATTTTAGATTATACGTCAACCTTCCTGCTTGAAAAATAAAATTATACACGAAATTGTGAAATTATATAATAAGCAGATTATTTTGTTTCCTCTCGCGGGTGCAGCTAACAGCCATGCTAATTATTACACCGTCCATTGAGCCAGGAAATTCAACGCGTGACATCGATCTCTGCGGCGTTGTACATACATACATACATACATACATACATACATACATACATACATACATATAGTACGTTTGATGATACACTTTGCACGCATTATTAGACCAATCTCCATTCGAGTGATTCTAATCCAAACCTCTCGGCATTTATATTGTTCCCATACTGGTTCTATTTTTAAAATAAGTATAAAATGAAATGAAAGAGACAAGGAACATTATGACAACTAATCTAACTTTTCTTCGTGCTTGCAGGCGTGATCATAGGGAGTGGCGGCGGAGTAAAAGACCGGTACAGCGGCGGTTCGATTTCCGCTTTGAGCTACAGCGGCGAGAGGGTCCGTGAGGACAGGCAAGGGAGGATCGTCGACGGTAGGAGCAGAATCAGGAGGGAGAAGGACGAGGACACGAAGAGCGCGGACTTCGTATCGAGGGCCGCCATACCGTCTAAGCAGAGCCTCTTAGAACTGGTCAGCAGCAAATGCATGAGCCGCCACACGCCTACGCATCATTACTATCATCAGCAACAGCAGGTCGGTCCGACGTTTGACTCCTCGCGCATCGCATTCATCGCGTCCCTCAGGGGTATTTCGTTGACCGCATTAACAGCCGGCTTGATACTAATTAGGTTATTACCAACCAGCGATGGGATTTAGCGTGCGTATTACACACGCACTACTAATTGTAAGTCGAAATCCAACGAGCACGTGACTCTTGAATGGTATTAATAAACGTACCGTTCGGTGAAATTGAAGAGAAAATGAATCGAGCTGAAATGCTGGTATCGAAATTGAAAGTACTTTCTGAATGAATACATTGGACCCTTCTTAAATAATAAATTATAGTATATATAAATAATATATTTTAAATAATTATTTATAATAAATTTGTTCTATAAGGTTTGGTACAATGTTTCTACGAACGCCTTTAGACAATTTTTCAGTGAATTCTGGTCTAATAAAAAATCGCGAAAGTCGATTCGGTGAGATAAAAGAAAATATATCTATTCATACGACCGATGAACAAAATACGAGAGAAGCATTTGCTGGAATAAACGGTTCATCCCTGTAATAGCGTCCTGGGCACGGTATCTGCGATTTAGTCGACATTATGGAAACTGTTTATGCACATGCGACTAGATTGTATTGCCCTGCGCGAAAAACACGACCGACCGCAGCTGCGTTCACGACTACATGAATTTGCAACCTGACGCGAGAACGACGTTGGAACGATGCAGTTCATTTGACAAAACGTCGATACTCGTACTACCCGCAATTTATTTATTGTTCAACATTTACCCTTTTCACTGCGTCATCGCAAAATGATCATGCAGTACAGCCGTTTTTCATTAATCATTTCACGTCAAATTAGAATAGATGTAACATATAGTATCAGTTAAAAATGATTGAAAAATTAATAACGAAATGGCGAGTCTTTCTTCTTGCTATTAAATTTTTCAAAGAATTCTAAAGCATAAAATAAATCCCGTGTTCATAAAAGCGAACGTATAAGCAATCGAGGAGAAATTACTAGAGTGACAGCCTTATGGGACTTTGTGTCGCACGAAAAAGTCTGCAATTTTTAACGCCCTGTGGAATGTATCGTCACCGAACTAAGAAATAGAAAGCAAAACACTGATCAATGCTGTATCGACCATATAATCTACTAGTAATTAAATAATACTAAGTATTCAAGATAGAAGAAAATTGTATACGACATTTTTTACTGCAGGCAGCAGTATCTACAATTTTTATTTAAATCATTTTTCGAAATTCTAAGAAAAAGAATTTTCATTCGCTGTCATTTACATCTGTCATTACACAAGCATTGTTACTCTTTACTAATATCTCTTCGACAAGCGTATATATTACTGTTTCGTCGAACAAGTCAGGAGCTGTGAATGTTTTATGAAAGCGGTGGGAGCGCATAAATTTTATTTGATCGAACCGCGGAATAAACCCGGAAGTAAACTCTGACACGTTGATGGGTGTAGGTGTACTCCGTGCCGCAGCGATACTTCAGCTCGTCCCGCGATTCGCTTCACGGTGCTTACGTGAACCGTGGCGCGAGCGAGCTCGACCTAAGCCGGAAACCGAAAAGGAGGGACCAGCTAAGGGGTAGATTCAAACTGCCGTACACAGTATCGCGCGACCAGTCCCATCTGCACACCCCGGCGTCCGTCAATCATCTGAGCAACGCCAGCTGCAACGGCACCGAGACGTGAGTATTGAGCGTCGGATCGATTATATGAGACGTTTTCAGACCTTCGCTTCGCGAGCCAGGCGCGGTGCCTCGTAATTGAATCGGTAAATTGAAGAACGGTATGGAGTCAAAAAACAATATTGACAGATCTGAAAAAAAATAGCCTCAGCTATCGTCACTGTCATTCTACGCTCTTTAGCTTAATTAATCTCACGTTTCTGAATGCGGATAAAATAGTAGACTCATTATCAAAAAAGTCAGATAATTTTCCTAAATATCTGGACAGTTCTCAAATATTCGACACATTTTTAAACGCTCCCAAACGCAAAACCATCGAGTTTTAAATCTAATTTTTGTTCGCAGAAAAACAAAATACTTCATGCACCGTGCTTTTTTAATTAGTTTTGTCGCGGTGATGCCATGTATAACTCAATCAATGTTGCCCCATTTACAAGAAGAAAAGGACGTTATATTCAGTTTGTTAATCGATCCGCTTCATTCAAAAACTGCAATGCGAGTGTCGAATAAAATCGTAGACTAAAAATTAGCGACTAACAAATTCCAATTGTAGATTATTGATAAATCGTCCTCTCATAGAGAGAAGTTTTTGTTTTGTTTGTTACTAAAATCATGTTTTATACTGGCTTAACGAAAATCGAAGTTATCTCAATTTTTCATGAATGCCTGTATGTTTTTTTATAAGAAATACATACAACAGGTTTTATAGGCAATGCATTAAATACAAATATATTACCTATGTTTTTGTAACAAATACAGAAGAGCTATATTTTCCAATTTCGTTATTCTCTTTTTATAGGAGGTACACTGTGCAACAGCAACAGCAGCAAAGGGGTAGCAGGGGTTATCCCGGACAAGCAGGATCAAAGGGTTTTCGCACGGGTGCTCCTAATTGGTCCTTCATCTTCGATCCTGCGGGACGTCTCTGTTACTACTGGTCGATGGTAGTCTCGCTCGCTTTTCTCTACAACTTCTGGGTCATCATCTACAGGTTCGCCTTCCAAGAGATAAACGGTTAGTCTTTATTCTCTGCAAATTTCTTTACATTCCGCTTCGAGCATATACATGTTATTTCATTATCAGAAAGAATAACCATCTTGCATATCTATTCGCATCTACAGAGACTGTCTTGGTATAAAATTGAATACAAATTTTCTTTCCAACGTTTCCATAATTTGAAATAATCATTTTTATAACATTTACAATTAATTTGTTATTAGATCAGAATTTCAGCTGAGTTTATTTAAAATAGTTATGTGAAAAATAATAATAAACGAAAATCTGTTCACTATATTTTAATATTATACTGACGCTTAAAAAGGAATGTAAATTTTTATGGTGCTGCAGGTGAAACGCGTTGGGTGTGGTTCTGCTTGGACTACTTTTCCGATTTTTTATACGTACTGGACATAGTGTTTCACATACGAACGGGATACCTAGAGGACGGTGTGTTGCAGACCGACGCGACGAAGCTAAGGAATCACTATACAAACAGCACTACGTTTTACATGGACATCCTGTGCCTGCTGCCCCTCGACTTTTTATACTTATCTATAGGATTCAACAGTATACTTCGAAGTTTTAGGCTCGTAAAAATATACCGGTAAGTACTCATGAAAAAATAGCAAAATATGCATCCAAGCATTTATCTTGTATTTAATTTATTGGAAATTTTCAAACACAATGATTTCTTCTGAAGCAACACGATTTCTTTCTGTAATTATATTCATTGCAGTGTGCGCTAAATTATCTGCTGTAATTATTCGACCGATATTTGAGAGGGAGTCAATATTTTCTTAAATTTTCAATTAGTGATCGGAGATAACAGTTATTGTTTCATTCGTTACTCGACTTCTCAATATTTGTGTTGTATAAAATATTCAATTAACTTGACAGAAATTATGTATAATAAGTAAGAAGTATTTGCCTTTGCTTAAAATAAAAATATTTAATATTATCAATGATCATCATTCTCTTTCATACGAAATACATTGTCTTGTCACAATGGAAGAGTGAATTATAAAAATAGATAGAATGAATTTATGGATGTCAATGTTTGAATTAAAAATCAATAATTGATGTATCGTTACAGGTTCTGGGCGTTCATGGACAGAACCGAGCGACACACCAACTATCCGAATTTATTCCGCTCCACCTCGTTGATACATTATTTACTAGTGATTTTTCACTGGAACGGGTGCCTCTATCACATTATTTATAAGAACAATGGCTTCGGGAGTAAGAACTGGGTATTCAGCGACTCCGAGACCGCGGACGTTGTGAAACAATATTTGCAGAGTTACTACTGGTGCACATTGGCTCTCACCACTATCGGCGATCTGCCCAGGTAATTTCATTTCCCCGGTTCATGATTGCTCGCATTGTTCCTGTTTGCCGTTATTTCTACGCGAAACCGAAGCGATACCAATTAAACTTCGCATTAAAAGATCCTACAATATTGAAAAAAAAGAAAATGCATTTGTAAGATTTCCTAATTGTAGTATAAAATAATAAGAAATTCGATGTTCCGTTCCGATACAATGAAATGACAAATCAACTACTGCCAATTTTTGTATACGCTTTAAAATCAATACGAATCTCATCAGCAGACTGCATGCATTCTTCCCTGTTGCCTCTTATTTCCAGGCCGAGGAGCAAGGGCGAATATCTGTTCGTGATAGCTCAGCTGTTGTTCGGTCTGCTGCTGTTCGCCACGGTTCTCGGACACGTGGCCAACATCGTAACTTCCGTCAGCGCTGCCAGGAAGGAGTTCCAGGGTGAGTGAAAAGCAAATCCAATTATTTCTCGCGGCAGCCACTCGTCCGCTTTCCTATCGACGAAAAATCGAACGCCTGCAACGATCCATCCTCCGCGATTGTTTCGTTTCTAGAAACGAAACGTTGTACGTGATCAATTCAAAGAAAGGACCGGTTCTCTGTGTACGCGGTTTCAAGACAACTCCAAACGGAAAGCGTATTCGATTAACGAGATTTCTCTCTCACGGAACAATTTCCAATAAGACGATCATTCGTCATTTATTGACTTTATTAGTTATTTATAATCAATACGTAATCATATAATCGATCCGATGTGATTCGTGTACTTTACACTATGTTAAGATATTGCTTAAATGAACGTTTTTTCTGCTAAGCAATACTGTAATCTCGGAACGTATAAACAGTACGGAGGAAATTCCGAACGCGGTCCAATAATATCCTGACGTTCCCGTTTGAAATTGCGAACATCGTCTGCGATCGTATTTGCATCGCGCGAGGCGTCGAAAAGGCGAACCAAGCGAGCAGCAACGGTCCTAAACATTTCACGTTCTCCCAATTAGAATCCTCGAATAGGGGTGATAACGAGCCCCGAGGAAATTTTCCGATAGTTCCCCTCTCCCCCGCGGCACAGCTAACGCGATCGCGGGTCGGACTACAAATAATTTTACATTCAATTAACGTGGCCGGCGAAGCGGACGCATCATTTAGCCACGTGGCTCGTTTTAATCCGGCCGCCGCAATTTTGCCGCATTCTAGTATTTCCTTCTACGTTTACCTACGGTGGCCTCTGCTCGTCTCGCTCCCGTTCCTGTCGCGTCTGTGCGCTTCGAACGAGAACTACCAGAAAACGATTCCGATGTCGTCGGCTCGATTGAAGCGAAACCGCACTTTCGAATCTATGCACACAGCGGTATCAGCGAATTAATGTGAATTTTCATTGGAGATATAGTAATGCGGTTAGTGCACGATGGTTTCGAACGAAAATGAGATAATTGTTTGAATTCAATAACTGATATTGCATGCTCGAAAATTAATACAGTAATAAGTCCTTGTGAGTTGAAAATTAAAAATATGAGAAAATACAGCAGGAATTAAAATAAATCATTCTTTGTAATTATAGTCTACATCGCAACATTTAGAATGGTAATTATGCGGACATGGCGTTTATTTGTCGAAATTTACAACGACTAACGGTGTCCGCAATGGCCAGAAAGAACAACTCGCGTTAATGCGACTGCGGGCCACGGTATTTGGCCATAAAACTTCACCGGCATTCCCAGCTGCCGGTATGCTCGTCCTCGAGAGAATCGGATCGGCTTCCGCGAACCTGATTGCGCGAACCGGTTAACAGCGACCGAATGAAATTTGCAAACTACGTTTCCGCGTCGCGTCGTTTATATCAACGCGAAGATGTGTTATTTCATGCGCTACAGGGGACTCGGTCAAATCGAAGCTTCGACGTTAGAACGTAGCTACATACAAGCGATTTTAATATCGAGAAAATGCTTGTAAAAATTTTTGTTATTGACCTTATCCATTATTTTTCTGCGTGGACAAGTGGAAGATCGATTGGTTAAAAAAGAGGAATGGTGGGAAATATTATTTCCCGTAGAAAAACTCTCTTGAAAAAACGCTTGCAATATGCAAAACTGCAGATTGATTTTTATCACGATCCAAAGATATAAGCGCGACAAATCGACAACTCCGACGGCACGATGGATTATCCATGAAATCCGACACGTTTTTGCTCGCCCGGCTCGTTGACGAATCGCAAACCATAGGATAGTATCAGCGTCGCGATAAAAAAGGAATATAAAAAGTGGGGCGTGGTACCTATGTACTGCTAATAATGTGGCCGACCGTACGGCGACGACAAACAAAAATGAGCGTGGTTTTACGCAACGGTGTAGCCGGATAATCCGAGGCTATGATCATTAGGAAATACAGATTGCTGGACTTTTTTCTCCTCACAAGAACTTATTAGGCTGCGCTTCAGACTAGAGAACACGAAAACAACATAATTTATCGTAATCACGCTCTCGTACACGTCTCTCCAAAGATCTAAGAGTGTTATTCACGCAGAATAAAATAAAATTTTCACGAATCTTTAAATAATACATTCAACCGGTGGAAATAATTTTCATATTAAATCACTACACAAAAATTTTCTATTTGCCAAGACTTGATAAACATGAACAGGAAAACAAAAAGTTTGCTTTACCGCGTTGGTTGCAAACTCGATGCTTTTAATTCCAATCTCGGCTCACCGCATCGAAAGTTGTTTCAAATTCAACCGGAACCGTCAGCTTTATTTGCAACGGGGCTTACCGGACCGCAAACGAGTTAATATTGTAAACGTAATTTTGCGAAATCCGAAGAGGAAGCAGCGAAACGAAGCGGCGCGCAGCGATTCCTTAATGGAAGGATTCCCGGTGCTTCCCGTTCTACGAATTTCTTTTTGAATGTTGTTCTGCCTCTCGCCGAGGCGACGCTGATGGGATATAAAATTTCATTTTCTGCCGGCGCGCTTAAATCCCCGGTAACTCTCGATGCTGGCGATTTTACTTTCAATGAGCCCACCCACCGCCCTCTTAATTTTCTGTTATCTGTAATTTGCTTGGAATGGATCAGATTCACAAGCCGCGCTCTGCAAAGAATGTTTTTTTAATCGTAATTGGCATTATTGTTTTAAACTTCAATTAACCATCACGAACAGGATTATTCTTCCTCAGAAATGATTTCCGACCGAAGTTTCTACATTTTTTACAGTGATTCACCGGAGCGCGATTAGTTTCAATTCCATAGTGTCCACCCGGAGAGCGGTAATGCAAATTGCAAGTTAATCACAATTCCCAGTTAAAATTTAGTTCACCGTTACAACTGCGGGAACGCAATTAGAAGTTAGTTCGTCAGTTATAATGCGACTCGATGCTCACGACTCAGAAGTCAAAGTGTAGAGTTACAATAATTCCAGCTGCGAAACGCATTTACCTGGCCCGAGGAATAGTGTCGACGATAGAAAAGCCGGTGTAATAACAGAGAACGGTTGAGCAGTTTGATACCCCACGGCTTTCAACTTTTCACCTATTGTGCATCAAACAGAGTTCTGTGTACTTATTCACTTTCTTGAAACGGTAAAGAAATGGGCAAGTTTGAGATTTCTGGTTCCTATTCCAACAAAATCCTTCTTACATTGCTTTCGTTCATAATTTTAAGTAGCAATAATATAATAAATATTATAGCCTTGTGAAAAGAAGCACCTGAAAGTTGTGAAATCAACGAAAGACGTCAAGTTTCCCATTTACTTATTATCATCATAATTATAAACAATATTCAACTAAATTTAAATAAAACAATTATATTTTTGTCAAATTGAGAACTAGAAAGTAATGAAATCGTAGTAACAGTTGTCAAGTTTCGCTCATAAGTTTATTATTTAAATACATATATGGGGAGCCAATTGCTGTTGACCAACGACGTATCAGCGTTCTCCTATATGTGATTTCTACGCTTTCCCCTCTACTACCGAATACGTATTGTCCGATTCTACATCAACGCCTATAAAAATGCGTGATCTTCAACAATAATCCTCACTGTACGTCCCGCTACTGCTACTATATGAAAAATAGTGGTGGAAGGGCAAGCACACATTGCACATAAACCTAGTAAATCATGAAATCAATGTAAACTTGCAGCACAATAGAGCAAAAGTAGCTAAATAGAGAACCCTTACTCTGTCGCAAAATATACTCTTATTTTTGACATGTCTTGATAAATAATTACCAATATAATTGTATTTTGAAATTGAATGTTAAAAAGAAATTGTTTTAGTCTATCGCAACATACTTTTATTAATTAACACATCACCTTTCGGATTGTGTAGCTTTATATTCTATTAATAAAAGTAGATGATAGAACGGAGCGCTTACTTTTGCTCTATTGTGCTGCAAGTTTACATTGATTTCATGATTTACTAGGTTTATGTGCAATGTGTGCTTCCCCTTCCACCACTATTTTTCATATAGTAGCAGTAGCGGGACGTACAGTGAGGATTATTGTTGAAGATCACGCATTTTTATAGGCGTTGATGTAGAATCGGACAATACGTATTCGGTAGTAGAGGGGAAAGCGTAGAAATCACATATAGGAGAACGCTGATACGTCGTTGGTCAACAGCAATTGGCTCCCCATATATGTA